CTAGACCCGCATCAGCCACGCCCCGTAACGGCTTGCTCGACTATAGTAGCTGCAGCTATACAGCCGCATTATTTCCTGCAACGCGTCCGACTCGCGCCTGTTCGGTTTCGCGTCTCTCCACAGCAACAATACTGGGGCTCCATCTTGCATTTCAACCGATAGTTCACCCACTTCTCTGCAGCATCCTCTTCGGTGTCCTTCAACCAAAACCAATTATCGACAATCCCCCCCTGGAACCCCCTGGTACTATAATACGACTATACCTCCCGTCTGTATCGGTACCTCGACGTACTCCAGGCTGACTGTCGCCTTCCACCAAGAGTACTCAGGCCAGGGTTTGAGCTGACCAACAACCTTACGCCTCTCGTCCATCATGTTGCAATCTCGAAAATTCTACCTTTCCCTTGTTGGCGTTGTTGCATGGTCAAGCACAGCCGCTGACACCGTCTTGTCTATCTTGGAAACGGCATCTCTTTCTTCGTCTCAATCCTCCCTGGTCAGCATCGCTGCTGTAGCGAGCACTTTCGACGTCGTTTCTCTCTGCTGTGTCGGCTTCTACATATTTCACAATGTGGGAAACGTCCGCGGAGCCCTAGAGCGATCAGGTCGGGCAAGAAAGACTTTGGTAACAGTCAGCGTTCTCATATCTGGCGCTGCGTTGGTACTGTCTCTCATTTCGATCATCATGATCAAGTCAAGATGGGCAGTGGTCACAGCCGACCCTGCTGTTGCGCCGGTCTCAAATTGGGACAGCCATGTTTCGGGACAGATCGCAGCCTGGGTCGTATCATGTCTCAGTCAGGCCATCCTGTACACCTCATCGCTATGGAACCGCAAAGCACCCAAAGTTCAGACTGTCATCACATCAGGCCCTCGTGACTCAGTCATGAGTGAACTGCGGACTTCGCGCCCAAGCCATCTCAACTTCGCAGAGCACACCCAGCTTGCGACTCCCATGGCCATTCATCAGCAACCCGAGGTCCTTGGAGCCTTGCCCTCGCCCACCTTCTCTACTCGCTCATCGCAGTCCCTCAGATCTTTCCGAGAGTCTCTACGTCATGTAGTCCGCCCAGTCAACTCGCGCACTACTCTCATCAGCCAGAAGTCCTTCACCAGAGACGCCCCAGCCAGCATCTACTCGAACCGACAGTCGATTGACACTGTCTCTCATTCCGATGGGTTCGATAGCTGGGACACAAGCAGCGTGAGCCTTCCAGCACGCGATGTCGTCTTGCAGCAAGCCGCGCCAACAAGAGGCACAACATTGGAGCCGATCCCCGGCAGCCGTCCTCACTCGCCCGCTCGCGCGCTGGACGGTCCGTTTCTATCAGAACTCCCAGAGGAAGATGATGAAGATCTGCCCCCGCCCCCGAAGATGATGCCAGACATCTCGCGCCCACCGAGTCCAGCATGCAGCGAGGCTCACATCCACCCCTTGTTCAGGTCGGAGAGCCCATCGGGTCTGCCACCTCCAACAATGACCCCTGGTACGAGCATCATCGCCAGCCCCTACTCCAACCAAGCCATCGCATGCCCACCACGATCATTTAGTCGGATGAGGTCGAACAGCAATCTGAGTCAAACCGCCATGGGCCCTCCCTCTCTCCACCAAGCCAGAAGCTTCACTCGTGAACGCTCAGCAAGCCTTCAATCAAAGTCCAGGAGCCCTTCTCCTCCCAGCCGCGAAATGACACCTCCCATCCCCGACTTCGTGCTCAACTCCTCCCCCCGAAGCAGCATGAGCGGCTCCCGCCGCGTCGCTCTCCAGTACTCCCCTGATCGATGATAGATCATCACGAGGAGTACTATCTCTACCCCCTTCATGTCACGCATATAATGTGAAAGATGTAATGTCTCTTACGTTTGTACGATACGATTTCCCTTACACTGTTCATACCTTTTCGGTATACCCATTCATGTTACACATTCCTATTCTGTCACTAGCTCTCGCCCTCACGGGGGTTCGATCGAGCGTTGAGCGTTTCTGCATCGCGACTCTTTTTCTTATCAGGTCTGGGCTCCAGCATACAGGGCTGTTCGAGCGGACAATCATCATCTCGTTATGTATAGTCGTAGTATCTTATTCTTTCCATATACAACTATTTGCTGGTCAACTAGTTAGGCGCACTATCAAGACGGAAGCTAGAAAAAACCTGGACAACAATGGACGGGAAGGAGAAGAATCGAAGACGAAGTTAGGCCGCAAGGCTGCAAATCGTTATACCCAAAATCAATACAACAAAAATCATCGCCATTTGTAATCTGCAAGCATCTTCTTTCCTTGATACTTCTGTCCAGCAAACCATAATCCACATTATTGTGAAGAAACTTTCTTTCTCTGCCGGACCCGGAACCCCTCAGCCTCACCTGTCGTATTCCAACAGTTCCTTTCCCGCAACGACGCTACATGACTGACAACCACTGCCCTTCCCTTACCACAGAACATGCATGATGCCAGCATGACCCCCCTTCGCAACGTGCAGTATCTACCCTGCCCCACTTCGGGCCAGTCAGAGTCGACCGTTAGCCGAACTTCCCATTCTACGAGGGAGATCCCCGCTGACCATGGTACGTATACAGCCGCCTCATTTCATTTAAACCTACCGGCCGAATGTTCTTCGTTGTTGGCGAGCATGCGGGGAGATTGAACCTTATGTGATGACGAGTTCGGGCGTGATTGCCCTGACGCACGCGCGCGGCTTCCGGAGTTTGCGGAAAAGGGTGTGTGGGTGCACGGCCGGACGGGTCGGAGCCCGAGATGGAGCTGTGGTGATGAGTAAGAGCGGGAGCGGGAGGTGGTGTTGAGGGGAGTCTATCGTTTGTTTAGGTTCGGGGTGAGATGGATCGTATACAAAGTATATGGTTTGTTGGATTGGGGGACTATTGGATGGGTGCAGTGGTGTTGAAGACATGGGGCGTGATACTTGGGGTATCTTGTCGGAGAATTATTCTCGTTGGTGATCTTGGGGAGAGTCAAGATCGTCGTTGTATTGGAATATCCTGAACTTACTTTGGCATGCAGTGTCGTATGCGCAAGGCTGTACTGCAATTCCCATCGTGTTTGTTGGCTTCATACTTTGGTGTATTAGCCTTGTGATCAGTTTGAGACGCCATCAACTGGTGCGATTTATGACTATCACAATGTAAAGACTCTCAAAGAGGACAGACAGTTGACCACACCACAACTAGTCCATTACGCCAACTTGGACCGCCATTGGTTGTTGTAGCGAAAGCAAGCGTCGAGAGTTTGAGTGAGACAGTTGGCGAACAGTTGGTAGTTAACTTGGTGCCGTGGAAGTAAATGAATGAGTAATCAGAGATTTTACAACAACGTCTAACCCAAGGAAATCACAGGTATCATGAATAAGACGCTAGACGCAGTCGTGTGAGTTGTAACGCGTTTGATGGTTGCTCATGTGTTGTGGCGCGCTCTACGCTGACCGCCGATCCGCTTGTCCTTTTGGTCACACGCGACATCAACGCCTCTGGCTTCTCTCATTGAAGAGGAGAGTGCGCGAACTTGTGTCTGCATTCGAACAGTAAGAACACTGCGCCGGCCTTGCAAGCGTCCAGGATAGGAAACCAAGTCCAGAACAGCCTGTCTTGAAACCCCCTTACCTGTTCAAAGTCCCGTCCCCAAGCCATGCAATACGACGCGACGGATGCATGCATGCTGCGCCGCACCCTTCACCACAAGGTGTGCGGCTCCAGACACTGTTAGAGAACAGTAGCAAGAGGCGAGAGTATACGTCTTTTTGACTTCAAGTACACCTCATGTTCGTTTTTGCGTTGCTACTTTCAAGTGAAGGGGGCAGGGGCAATGGTGACGATTCGGGAGGATCGTCCCGTCTAGCGCTGCGGCTAATGACGTGCGACGTGAAACCTGGATGAAGCAACTTGAAAGCTTCCAGAAAGTACGCCGAATGCTTCGTGAAAAGCCCGTGAGAGCGGTGCTGTGATGGACGTTGCAACAGGCAGATGCGATGACTTGAAGTGGCGGGACACGGTGGCGGCAGGGACGATGGGTGATGCACGTAATTTGGGTCATTGCCCTCTTCGGCTGGCGTGCTGCACCGGAAGGCTCGAGGCGCAGAACCAACAGCGTGGTCAATAGTGGCCAGCAGCCATGGTAATTACTGTAGAGTAGGACTTGGATCCGAGTCGCATGACGACTGTGTGAATGTATGCATCTTATTGTACAGTACGCGTTGCGATTGTTGCAGGTGAAGAGCTCACGGGCGCTGTCATTCGTGGACTCAGATCCCAATCGGGCAAGGCGCCAGGCCTGACCAAGGATCTCACAACAGCTTCATCTTCATGCGCCGGATCAACACGATTTCCAACACCCTCGCCAACCTCTTGTTGCTGCTTCACAAGTGCGCTTTCTGCGCTATCTCCTTATACTGACATTTCTCAGCATCTAGTCATCTCAGCGCTTCCGCTCGACTGTGCCACACGGAGCATTCCTTCTGCAGGGTTATTTCTGTCTTGCGAGCACCCGCAACCTCGACCTTTACAAGCAAATCGCGTGTAAAAATATCGAAACGGCTGTGGAATACCTCAAGATTGATCCATGAGTCTACGGATCCTTGACTCGGACTTCGCGTCACGCTGTCAAGCAAGTCACCGCGCTCACTAAGGCGACTGGTCATAGTAAGTACTTCACACCCAGCACTCACGTCGCGCAAGACCATCGCACGAATTCCAACAGTCCACGGGTCCAGCGGTTCAGGGAACGATGGAATCGCCCACTGGCTTTCTGCTACTGACATCGCGACGACCATATGCTGACACGTCTTGCTTACAGCACTACCACCACTCTACCTACCCCACAAGAGGGTGACAATATCAGAAACCCACCCAGAACCATATCTTGGACCCGTAAGTACCCAATCGCATACCCGAAGTTCGGTTCGAGTTTCCGCCACCCTCTCATCATGTTATGATTCCAGGCTAACGGCTTCGTCCAGGTCTCCGCTTACAGGTCTCACATAACAACAATGCCGCCGAAACGAAAGTTCAAAGGCACAAAGGTCATCTCTAACAGCCCTCTGAAGGCACCGCGTAAGTCCGCAAGCCTACTACAATTGCCTCTTGATGCTCCCTATAGGGTTATGCTAACCTTGGCATAGCCGCTAGCGCATTGTCTAATAAGCGAAGTAGTCTTCAGGGTTCGAAGACATCTCGCCTTGCTCCTTCAGTACCGTTCCAAATGACAACGCGTCGCGGTGCAAAAGGCACGTCTAACCACACGAGCTCGGCTGGCCCATCTAGCGCAAGCTCTGGCAGCCGTCGTAGTTCTCTGGATGAAAACGCGCAAAACGAGGATGCAACTCCCGACCATGAGGATGCGCGACCAGCCAAGCGCAGCCGAACATCGTCCGATTCTGGTTCGCCGCAGAGATCCAATGGCTCATTCGACAACAACACACCCATGAATGGCACCCAAACTCCAGAGCTTCAGAAACCTGCATCTAGTGCGACTTCAACGGCACCAAAAACAGCAGCAAAGAGGAGACGCGCATCAGACGATTCATCACAGTCCAGCAAAACACGTCCAAACGGAGTTCTCACCCGAACCCAAAGCGATGTCTCCGAACAACAACCGCGCAAAAAGCGCAAAACAAAAGAATCGCAAACCGACACCGCCGCCGACCAACCTCCTGAGTTAACTGATGCTAGCACTGCACCCAACTCACCTGAGCAGGTTCCAGATGTTGACGGCAGTCAAAGCCTTCAGAACGTTCTGCCGACCAATGGCGATGCCCCTGCAAAGTCCGGCAGGCGTTTGCCCGGTCGTCGGCGCCAACCGCATCCGGACATCAATGTGGAGACAGATTTGCGCCGACAGCTCAATCTTAAGATGAGCTATCGCAGTCTTGCAAAGGTCCAAAAGGCTTTATTAGAAGAGTTGGCAAACCGTACTACGAAGAATCTTGAAGATGACCCCCAGTATCACAAGAAATGTCCGGAGTACGAAGCCGTCATGGCCCAGCTGGACCAACGCCGCGACTCCCGTCTGGACCAGATCAATTCTCTGCGCACATATCGACTCGAGGAATTAGAGCGCATCCGCGTCGCCGAGGAGCACATTCAGCGAGAGCAATACGTCAATCGATTCCGGGAACTTCAGGATGACTTTATGCTCCAAATATTCTTCCGCGCGAAGCAGCTGGAGCGGGAGATGAAGAGCCAACACGCTGATGCCACAGACGACGAAGATAACATCCTTCCGCCAACATTCAGTGACGAAGTTCACCATGCCGAAGACTATCGCATCGGATCAAAGTTCGCCTCACGGAGCAGGGCTTACGTTGAGGCGGACAAGGAACTTGAGAACGACTCAGTACGACGGAAGTTCACTGCAGCACGAGTTGCCTTTGTTGAGAACGATGAAGAGGCTGATGATTCCATTGAGGACGTAGCTGGTGGCTTTGCCAAGTTTGACGGCCCAGATCGCACCGAAGCTATTGCGCATTACAACATTGCGAGCCTCGCTGATGCTGCCATCGAAGTCGAAAGGACGCCAACACCACAACCAGAACCAAAGGCGATTGAGGTCATTCCAAATGAGCATGCTGCTCTGCTCATGATGCTTGCAGATATATCAGCACATCAGCCGCGTACCACTGCCGCACCAAAACCTCAATACCACTACCCAGATCCTCGTCAGCAGCCCCCACCGCCGCCGCGAGCGACAACACCGGTTATCAAGCAAGAGTTTGTGCGAGAAAAGTCGCCGGAATTCGCACAGCCAGCCATGCCACTAGGATTGCCGTCGCAAGCTGCGCATAGCAGTCCGCCCAAAGTTACCCAGGTGGCAGTGGATCTTACTCAAAATGTTTCCCGTTCGGAGCCCAATGCTGCACCGTCAACGAAAGAGACTGAGGCCCCTGCAAAGACAACTCCAAGGTTATCCACACATAGAATCATGGATATTCTCAATGACGATCAAGAAGTCCCAGTCTCGAGGACAAGGGAATCGCAATCCTCAACTCAGCAACCCAGCACACCATCAATGCGGGAATCTTCCATACATCCTCAAACGCCATCTAGGAGCGATGCTCTCAGAGTAGACGCTGTCATGAACAAGGAAGAGCCACCTATTGACCAGGCACTGATGGACGCATTGAGTGGCCCGCCTCAGAGCAACCCACCTTCGTCACCCCCATCGAACACTCAATCGTGGCAACACCCAAGTGTGCCACCCCAGACACGAGAGTCTGACGAGTCCTTACGTCGTCGGGATCCTCTGCAAAAGATCAGGGAACTTCTAGACCGGAAGGCACGCGAGCTTGGTCGAGAACCTCCAGACCGTTCTCACTACAGACAGGCTCCTGCTCACTGGAGAAACTCAATGCTCCCAAGCATAAACACCCAAGACCGAGGGGAAGTCGCGGCATATGATCCGACCAGGCCATCTACTGGGCTGTATGATGCATTACCGGGTAGTTATCATTCCCGTCGGCAATCCCATGAACAAGCTCCTCAGCCATGGGAACATGGCAGGAGGACAAGTGGCCATCAAGTCTCCCAACAATCGGCAGCATCGCCATATCAAGCCCATGCCCCCCAGCCTCACTATGGGGAACATAAGCAAGGCCCAACCCCACCAACACATCAAAGCCCGTATGCACCACCGTCAGGATCGTTGCCACTCCCTCCAAAGCCACCTGGTCCACTGCCATCAGCGCCGCCGATCAACTTCCGTTTCGCGCATTATGATCCTGCGCCACCACGCCAACCGTATCCACCGCAATCACCAAGCTACCCACCCACCTCACATCCGCCACAAGGCCCGCCACCACCGTCATACCAACCAGCATACGGCAGTGCTCCATCCTATCAAGGCGGCTACATACCACCTCCAGGGTCCTTCCAAGCACCACCCCCACCACCTTCCTCCATGGCCCCATACCAACCGCTTAAGATTCACCAGTACGGTGGCCAACCCATACTCCCCGCAAACATGGCACCACTCCCACATAGTGGACCACCGCCTCTACCTTTCATCGGCCAATCTGGACCACCGCAACAACAGGGGCCTCCTCCTCCTCAGCACCAACAACAGCAGCAGCAGCAGCAGCAGCAGCAAGCCTACTCTCCAACGCATCCCCATCCCCCACCGATGCAATACGAGCAACGCGAAGCGCACTCTCAGAGTAACGGTGACCGGTCTTCAGAATCACAATCAAGACCTAGACGGCAGTACAGAAGCTATCACGCCCCCGGCACGCAATTCCGAAGCTACCAAGGTCCCGGAGAACAGCGGAGGAGAGGCGGCTGAATGACGCACCACCAATTGTACATTACGATCCCACATGCCCTTCGCTACTAGTCTCATCTTTCCTTACCTTCTTCTTCTCCTTTCTGTCCATCTTGTACAGGGAAAAGGGTTGCATACAGCGAGGAACCTCTTGTTTTTCTTTGGATAAACGGGCATTTGCATGTTTCTTAGCTGCATTGGCGTTGTACTATCTTGTTATACATGTGTTTTTCTCTTTTGCATAGCCCCCTCCTTGTTTGTAGCATCTTTTCCAATTGGATACCCTGGGCGGTTTGCGCAGGATCTTGCGTGTGGGTGCGTTGTTTAGGTAGAAAGGTTTATTTAACTTGTTACATGCATGCTTTCGTTGTCGTTCAGTGTGTGACTTGCTCATGACTAGTTTGCTGATGTTGACTTCAAGATATTCATGCTTCATTTAAAAGAAGGTATACGTAAAATTTGGGTATCACTAATAATACACTACATCTCGCTCACGATATCTGCACGAGCACTTCGCACAAATCCGTTCCTCCACTCTACGCCCTCCTCTTCACCCTAGGCGTAGGCGTCCACTCCCTCCCCAACCCCGATCCTCTCCCCTCGCCCCCAAATCCAGCAGTTCCCCCACCTCTCGGCGTCGCCCCACCCATTCTCTCAAACAGTCTCTGAGCAGCCGGCGTCAAATCACCCTTTGCCTTCCTCCCTGGCGTCATTCCCCCAACAACAGCAGCAGCCGCCCCGCCCCTCCTAGGCGTCGGCGCACTCAAAAACCTCGGCGTCTCGCTCGTAAAGATGCCCAAGCCCGATCCCGTTGGCTTCGCCTGAGTGTGTGGATTCGACCGTTTCGCGCCAATCTTGTCGACCATTCTGTGATGCATCTTCTCGCGCGAGGAGGAGTCGTTGATGGTGAAAGGTGTGGCGGTACTGCTGCTATCTAGACCGTAGCGTTCTAGGAGGTCGGTTGGCGCGTCATCGTCGTCCGAGGAAGGGGAAGGCGGTTGTGCGTCTACAAAGGCGTAGCCGTTTACGCGGGGTGTTTCGCTGCCTGTGTATCCTCCCTCACTGGGATTGAGACGCGGTCGTCCTGCGACGGCGTCACGCACAGCGGAAAGAGTGGGGCTGGACGGGCGAGGAGGCTCGGCTTCGGGGGCGGGGAGTCGCGTATTGTTGTAGAGGACTTTCTTTGGGGGCGCGAGAGATGTGTTCTCGGCTTCTTGGGCGCGCGTTGGTGCCCATTGTTCTACACTGTCCGGGCCGAACATGAAGCTGTTTAGGGCGGTGTGGCGATGGCCGGTGGGCGCTGCGGGTCGCTCGTCGAGGTTCTGGCTTGGTTTTGTGCTGAGGACGATTTCCTTGCCTTTGGATGCGGCGGCGCGGGCTTCGAGGACTTTTTGTTGTGCTATGCGCTGTTTGCTTGCGTACATGTTTCCTTCGCGGAGCCAGACGTTCTTCTCGAATCGCGCCTTGTTCTGCTTGTCGATGATCTGACTGAAACTCTCCTGGTCTTCGCTCGTGTACTTTGCTTGGAATGCGCCTAGGCTCATATTCAGGTCGACATTGTCCAGTTTGCCTAGGCCCTCATCCTCGTCTTCGACTTCCGTTCCAGCGACCGTGACGGGTGTGTCCGCGCCCCAAACACTTGGAGTCTTATCGCCAGCGCCGCCTGCCTTGTCGAACCTCGTTCTCGCTGCCGTCTTTCTTTGCCCGCTCGGCACCGGCGTCATGACCTGTGTGAGCTTCTTGCCAGCCTCTCTTATCCATGATCGATCTTTGCTCTCCACCGCGTTCAGGTACTCTCGTTGGGCGTCGGCTTCCGCTAGCCCTGGGAAGAAGTCGCGGCGAATGATGTGCGAAACGGCGGAAACATAGGTATCCTCGTCTATGACTACGGAGGGGCGTTTTATACGTTTCGGTGCGGGAGGCGGTGGCATGAGCGCATTCGACGCGCTGCGCTTCGTGAGCGCTGTTGAATTGGGGTTCGACATGATGTGGTCGGGGTGGGGTTGGATTTGCAGGGCGAGTGGATGTTTTCTAATGGAAAGTGGCGGCGGTGCAAACAACGACGAGGTTTGGGTGCCCCTAAGCAGTGGAGGATAGGTTTCCGTAAGTGTTGTGCACCCACGTGGGCTGGTGAAAGAGCGTTGGCGCAAAGCGACTTTCGTGGACGATGATGTCTTAGCGTCGGCAGAAAGTCTCCACCGCCTCCAGCCCTACCCTGGGTTGCGTGTGAAGGTACCTGCATAAGTACCAACACCAGTGACACAAGATACTCGGTTGGCCGCATGATTTCAAATCTTCATTGTGTGAGCAGATGAGGTCACTTGCATGGACAGAACCTCGCGCTACTCTTAGCGTTGTTTCCCTAGCATATCTGCATTGAATCTACGTGCGGTCGCATCAGTACCCTATCATGAGACATTCCAGCTACTCAGATAATCTGGTACCGGCGTAACGATATTTTTGAACCTGTGCTCTTCCGTGATAACATCATATCCAATATCCCGACCCTATACAGGGCGAGTGCCTCATGGCACTTCTTGACCCGGGACCAAATTGTAATTCTTTCAGCAGCGTACTGGGCTCAATGGCGAGTGGAGTAAGACATGAAATCTTGACCAAGAACCGTGATCTAGTAGAATGACTCGACCATAGCGTCCTTGTGTGTAGTGTTGATGTTGGAAGGGCCGTTGCCCTCACCGAGCCTGAAGACAGACTCGACGACGGAGAGCTCGGTCGCTGTGGTATCAAGACCTAGATATTGAAATTAGTCCATGCTCGTCTCGACATTCTGAAGATTCTGTACGTACCAGTGACAGCCATCCAGTCATTGACAACCATACCCGCACCAACGACAGCGCTACCGCGGTTCACACTACCAGCTACAAGCGGCACTTGGAGCAAACTTGACAGCTCGTCTTGATCCTGAATGCTTGTCTTTGGGTGCACGATACCACCCTGATTGCTCAGAGCCATGTAGCTTCCTGTGAGCACGTTGTCCGCGATGGTTTGCCTGAACACCTCCACACCCAGCACATCGGCTATGATCTCCTCTGTTTCGCGTTCTATATCCGGGTGTACGAGAGCGACGTGGTCGTTGCAACATATTACGTTGCCGAGGGCTGATAGTCGCTCTTCTATCCTCTGGATCTTGACTTCGTCGGGTATGGAATTTCGGAGATGCTGGAGTTCTTGGTCTGTGGTTGTGGTGGGGACGAGGAGACCTTTCTTGTTACTGTGCACTTGTTAGGTTCTGTCTTAGGGCGTGTCGCATAGCGCAAGCTATCGCAAGACTTTGAACGTACCCAGCGGTCAGTCTGCCGATGATCCTGGTTCCGGCAATGGTGGCGTGGCAGATGGGAATGACATCTTGGAGTTCGGCTTCGAAGACACTGTTGCGCCACCGTCAGTACTAATGTCTCGCAGGGTTTGCTGGCCATGGTCGCATAGCATGTCGCCATGCTGTAACAACCCGCGAAGAGCTATAGAGCTATGCGCACCTGTAAAAGTTCTCGCTCGCGCCGACTGCGACGATCGCGTACGCGTTGGTGAGGGTAGCGAAGACACCGACTTCGTTTGAGTTTTCGAACTGGGCGCGGACAGCCATGATGATTGAGTTGAACGTCGAGTATGTGTGTGAGGCTCAGTGGGGGGTGGAGAAGAAAAAGAAGGGTCTTTAGTACGTGGTTAGTGAGCTTGTGGGTGAAGTCTGCAGAAACTGTGAAGGCGGGACTATTTTGTAAAGAGCGACATCATAAGCCCCGCTACTGAATTGGGCCTAGCGCCTTCGACTCATCTTGAGTGAACCGAACCCTGCATACTGGGAGGGCCCACCGCGTCCCTTCGCCACTGCATCTGGACGTTGGCCCTGGAATGGCTGTGACTGTGGAAGTGAGGAGTCACCACTTGGCGGCTTCGTCAGACAAGATGAGATGCGATGTTCATCCGACGTGATGCGACTCATACCAGCCACCGTGCGCATTTTCGACGTGTCGCTGGGATCGCACGTCCATGATCGTGAAGCAAGCCACATCCCTTCACTTTGCGACATATGGCTGTGCACTCGCCCATTCTGTAGCCTCGCCCGACTTGCAGCCTCATGGTAACCGGTCGCATTGCTTAGCAACGACCACGAAACCTTGTGATAGACTTTCGGAGCATTACTCAAAGGCGACTCAAGTCCATCGGTGTGGTCGATACCTGATCAGAGCACCGGCTTTGCTCAAGTGCACGGTGTGAAGCTCCACATGACACATGTCATAACACTCCCGTAGTCTTCCGGCTGATCGCAGTGAAGCGCCCAACTCCTCAGGTTCAACCTTGCGATGATCAATGGAAGACGCGATAGCATAGAGAAGGTATTCGTTATATTGACGTCTCATCGTACAGCTGACGTAGGACGCATGACTATAATTACAAGATCATATAGTTCGTCAAGCTCGAACCACAGCGAGATTATCCAGGAGCAGCGCACGGTTGGCCGCTATGCTTCAGATCCCCAGCCACCGCGACAGGCACCCTTGCCTCACATCAAACTTCCAAGACGAACTGACAGGTGACAAGCAACAGGTATGGAACATGAAGATAATAGTATTGTAAAGTGGCTGATGGCGCCAAACTGGGCAAAGCAAATGGGTAATACGCTTTCGGTCACACTAGAACAAGCAGCAAAAAGAGAACGCCCGCTAAACTGCAGCATGCCGTACACGATACGCGTGGAGAATCGAAAAGTGGAAAATGTACAATAGCGGCTGCGCCTAGACAGTAGACCCAAAACGAGATCGAAGTAGATATCGAGGAGAGCGTTCATGTCGTGTGCCGGAGCCAGAAAAACATTAACACTTGCGTGATGGCATGATTATGATCGTAAATGATTCGTTATGCAAATGCATCGCGTGCAAATGTCGGGTGTAAATTGTGAGATTCGGCCTGGAGAGGACGGTCGGAGAGGTTCGCTGGACTGCAGAGTGGGTGTCACTCATTACATGCGCGATGCGAGTATGGCCAGCGCGACGATGACACCG